GGGGGGGGCAACACATAATCTCTGACTGAAAGTAGGAGGATGGGCTTATTACAGAACAATAAAAAAGCTTTTGTTGGCATTTCTTCCTAATTGTTATATTTATTGGTGGACTTATTGCCGAATAAATACAATTTCCTGTTGGACAGTTCTCATAAAACTTACATAACTTTGTCTACATATTTCCAGCTGGAGGATAAGGAAACATTACACGGCAAGAAAATTGCCGAGATGGAAGATCAGATAAAAGAGATCAGAATGTCAAACCAGGAGGAATCAAAGGAACAGGAATGGCTGACTGAGGAGCTGGATACATATCCTTTATTATGTCTGGCAAAAATACCAGGTTACTCCTTGTAGTAGAGATCACTCTTCATTGGTTGGGTCAGTCCATGGTGTCTTCAGTAATAACTGAAGGAGGCACGGTAGAACAGTGGTAGGACACCGGGCTCGTGATCGAAGGGTTGCGGGTTCACGGCACGGCACGGCAATGTGTTGTATCTTTGAGAAAGATACTTTACCCGCTTGTTCCTGTCTACTCAGCTGTAAATGAGTATGTGGTTGGGCAGTGCTAGAATTGTTGAATGCTAGCTGTTAGCGCCAAAATGGCAGCTCCAGCTGTACGCTCCCCAGGGAGTTGAGAAAGGTATTATGGGCTGGTTGCAAAGGCCCTTTAACCAGGGATAATAATTTGTGAACCGCTTTGAGACGACCTACGAACTAGGTTGTGATAAAGCGGAATATAAGAATCTCAAATTATTATTATTATTATTAGTCCAGTGGTTAAGAAAAAGGTGTCGAAAATGTTATTCCTAGTTTGAGTACGGAATTGTCAAAATTAGTTTCCCCTGCTTAACACAGATTCCTGAAGGGATGTGTTAATACCAATAGCATGAATATAAGACTGCCTTAAAAAATAGGCCAACATCAGAAAATAAACCACCTTGGAATCCTAATACCGAAAATGAAAATAGGCTGTGACTTATTATTGAGACTTTAGGCAATATGCTTGAGCAATGGATAAACTATTCAGTTGATTTACCCGATTTTACAAACAATGTCACAGATGTTTCTAGCCGTAGTGTTGGTCTTGTATAACAGTGAATATGAGTCTTTAACTGTTAGCACTCTGAAGACGACTAACTCCAGTTTACACAAGATCATTGAGGAGTATGAGATGGGCCGAAAGGAGAAGAATGAGGAAATCAAAAATCTGTCCGTAAGTATAAAAAAAAAAAAAAAAAAAACCTTGTGATCAAAACTCAGATAAATTAAACAGAGGTGTACGTTTTATCAATGCTACCATGCAGAATCGAAGAAGCATAACAAAATAAGGGCCCAATTAATGGACTGTAAGGGCTATACAAAACTTGACAGGGGAAGTAACTCTAAGCCAGAAACACGCCTTGGGGTTGCTTCATCTTCTATACCGGTACAGATTTTTAAAAGGTGCTCTTCTTACAGATGAGAACAAAACTGTGTGTCTCACAAAATAAGTGAAATGCAGTATCATTCTTTCATTTTCATTTCATGATTTAGAACAATATCTCTACATTAAAAACAAAATCTTGATGCACTACCATGTCGAATATGAAACTGAGCTGCTGTTTCTAGCATTTGAATCAAGTCATTAACATGCAAAATGTGATAGCAATTATATGCAAAGACTGAAAGGAGATTAAAAAGGATGTACATGTAGAAGGAAACTTAAGTGTTTTCATTATTCAAGATAATAATTTAGATTTTAGATATTCCCATACTAATCTTCCACAATTCACTTTTAAAGCACCGCTCTTTATTAAGATACCTTGAATGTACCCAAACGTTTTTGCAGACAAAACTAGCTGAAGCAGACGGTGTCCAGACACAGCTGGAGAAACATAAAACAAACAAGAAAGAGATGGAGTACCAGGTCGAGTGTGAGAGGATATCTCATGAAGAGAGGTATATATAGTATACATTTATAGGATCTTAGCTGAGTTTCCATTTCATATAAGATTTATGAAACGAGTCTAAGAACTTTTCAATTTAGCGAGCCTCTGGCGAACTTAAATGAAAAAATTTGTGACAAGTTTCATTAAGTTCCTATGAAAAGAAAACGAGTGTAAGATCCTTTTTTATCACATGATTTAGATTTGTGACATTTGTTCGTGTAAAACGACAATTTTCATGCAACACTGAAATGTAAAAAGCGGCCATTTTGACTTCAGTGCATAAGTCTGTGACGTCTTTTACTTGTCCTAGGCTTGACGTCACAGTTGGAACAATTGAAACTTACAACCAATCACAGGGCTGATAGGTCATATTACATGGGTTAATACGCCAAAAAATATGACATGGGTATATTCGCTGGATAACACGGTACATTATGTGATACATAGGGAATATACTTTACATTGAATGGCTATTGCCAACTTTTAATTTTTTGGGACTCAAGATGACCAGCATGGCCTCTGATTGGCTGAGACAATATCATATATAACTTGATTTTTTTAGGGCTGGATAACATAGTACATTACGTGATAAATAGGGAATATACTTTACATTCAATGGCTATGGCCAACTTTTAATTTTTTGGGACTCAAGATGACCAGCATGGCCTCTGATTGGCTGAGACAATATCATATATAACTTTTTTAGAGTTTTGTAGGGCCAACTGGCTCACAAGTCTAGTTAAAGTCAGCTTTTTAGGTTGATTTGTGGTTCCTATAAATAGGTAATAAGTGTGTTAGTAAATAGCAATTCTAAGTCAGTATATTATCCGTTATATGTCTGTTTATCGAACTGGTTTGAGGTAATTCAATGTTAAGTTTTTGAAAAAAAATCAAAAAAAATCGTCAAATCTTCCATTTCAAACCGATTTGAAGGCAAGCTGCTTGTAAACCTCGCTACATCATGGTCATGCCTGCATTTGTTTTCTTCGCATAATTTTGGAAACTTACATTGATTGTAAGTTTTTCAATAAGCTTTAGTATTTTTAAGTTGATGATTTGTTTGCTAGGGTGAAAGAGATCGCCCAGGTGGCTGAAGCTTGTCAGCAGGAGCTGAAACGAGCGCGGGAGGACCTACAGGTACAGGATCGGCGGAGGAGGGAAGCTGACACTGCCAACGTTGAGCTACAGACAAGGTAGTTCAATAGTAAAGGACCTGGAGCCTATCTATTGTTTTCCACTACGTTGTAGTGAAGCATTAAAAAAAACCTTAACTGGATAGGTGTGCTGAGTGACCATGAATTTGAGCATCTATTGTCCAGATTCATATTCAGAACACTTAGCTGGGTTTCTATTCTACAAAACGTAATAGAAACCTATTCACGACTGAAAATATATTATAATAAGCAGGTTTCCAAATTGTATTGATTAATGTATATGCTAATTGTATTGATAGTATAAATTGTATATCTATGTACTTCAAAGCGCTTTAGAGTGGCTTATTCTAGCTAGCTAGATAGGGCGATATATCAAATGTTGTATATTATATGTATATTATTATTATTTAACATATAAGACCATGGTAAGGTATTTTCCCTAAGTTTACACAGAAAAATATGGTAAAGGGAAAAAAGGAGGGAGAAATATCTTGTCTATCTTGTTTTTGCAATTTTCTTTTTCACATCAAGGTACTTTTTGAAAATGACACTCAAATCATGGTTGCATTTTGTGTTCAAGTGATGCAATGCGTCCCTTCATGATATAACCCCATGTTTTAATATTCCAGGCTGGACCAGGTAACAGAGGAATGTAAATCTGCTACAGACAACAATCGTTACCTGGACGGAGAAGTGGAAAGGTATTAACCATTATAGATGTATGGATGGGTTTGAACACAAGTCTCATTCAAGTATTTTCAGAATTCTGACAGTACTTAAAGTACTGTACCTTTAATTATAAGAAAAGATTTTAAAATTATTTTTTCAAGTCCCAGTCAAAAAAGATGAGCTATGAAGGAAACTTTTACTTTTGAATCCTCATATTAAATTATAAATTTACGGGCAGATTGGTCGAGTGGTTAACACTCCGGCCTTCCACGCAGGAGGCCGGTGTTCGATCCCCTAAGTCACGTCTTACGCATGGATATTCACAGAAAGTGTTTTACTCCTGTCCACACAACTCCAACAACTCAGGTGGAGTATAAATTGGTCTGGGGTGGATGTTGCGGTATCTGTGCTGTAGCATTCAAGTGAGGTGGCACTATATAAATGATGCCGTTGGAAGCATGGTCCCACTACGAACTAAACACATTACATCTCCAGGACACACACAGGCATACACACATAGGGAGATATTAGCCAGGTGGCATATGACTAGAAGTTAGCGCCTGATAAGGCAGCTCCTGCAAAGTCCTCAAATTGAATTGATTAATGTATATGCTTATTTTATAAATTGTATATCTATGTACTGTAAAGCGCTTTAAAGTGGCTTATATTAGCTAGATAGAGTGCTCTATCAAATTTGTATATTTATTATTAAATAATTATTAGAAGTATTGAATTTGTTTCTCTGCAGAAATATTTTTATCTTTTAAGATGGGAGTGGGTGACAAAGAAACTGAAAGTGAACTTTTGAATCCATGATTTTGTTAATTAATTTTTATAAAGTGTCTTGATTTTGAACTGCAATGCCGTCATGTTAGCCATGATAATCAGATAATCATTACCTTCTAAAACAGGAAACAGTCATAAGAATGTAAATACAAGCACTGACATTCCTGAATTGCAATGTCTTTTTTAACTCATTCACCCCTGAAATTTCCTAATGGACTATTCCAACATTTGAATTTGGTGGGGTTTAAATGTGTCTTCAGGGGTGAATGAGTTAATTCATGTGTGACATAATTCCTACTGTGTTGTAATTGGCTCTTACCCTTCCAGGAAATTTATAACCAGTTCTTGGGCTTATATAAAATATAGTAGCATTTTTCTCACATTTACTGTGACAGTAAATGTTTACGCATTTTTGTTGACTTTAAAGGCTGATCACATTTGGTAAAAAATACACGATCGAGAATGAAGACTTGAAGGAGGAGAACGAGAGGTTGATGAGCGAACGCATACAGTGTTGTGAGGTATGTCTAGACCTGAAATGCAAAACCCTTGTTAGGACGCATTGGTTTTATTTTAACAATGTGTGAAATAGGTAACGTATTTTTACAGTTGATATTTAGTAGTTTAAATGGTAAAAATATAGAAAATCTTAAAGTTAAAAAGAGTCCTTTCTTGTACCTCATTTAGTGGAGGGGAATATTATTATAATACTTTGTCTGTGGATCTGTATTTAAATGCCTATGTATTAGATATCTCATGCACGCCTCAACAGATTATACATAAGCCGTCATTTAATAACACTGATTTCTTCATCTGATTTGACTTCGGTGGTCATCTGCCAATGTAAAAGGGTCAAAGGTCAAACTTGACCACTTTGTGGCAGGGCAGGTGGGGTGAAATATCTTTGAGAGCCCCCAGCTCACTTTGTTTTTATTAACCCTTTCACCCCTAGGTAACTGGAGTAGACTCTACCATATATTCCTCTTGGTGAGTTCATTATGGTCTACAGTACTAGTGGTGAAAGGGTTAACCACCCTCAGATGCAAATAATACTTTGAGGAGATTTAAATGTTCTCTTTTCCAACTTGACTTTTTAATCAGCCATAGAATATTTTTTATTTCTGTTTGCTTTTTCAATAATTGTTTGCAATAAATTGTTTAACAGGAAATTGAAACTATGAAAGACAAGCTAGAGGAAGTTTTAAAAGAAAACGCAAAACTTCAGGGGCATCAGAATCACAAACAGAAGATTCAGTACCATTTGATGCTAAAAGAGGAAAACACTTCCCTTCGAGAGGTATGTACTGGTTCTGTGATAATGTAGAGATTAATAGAATGTTTTCCCACCTTTGGAATAAGACAGAGAACAAGACATTAAGGAAATCTTCCTCCCAGGGTTTAGATTTCTCTGTCTTTTTCCTCAAGTAGGGAATGGCTATTTTCTCCCACCTCCAATAAATGTGGAAATTTCATAAAACGGTAAATGTTGATTTACTCATTTCTGGCAAATTGGAGTGATCTACTGTGATCTGCATTTGTTTGACATGGCACCATACAATTAATCTTTACCCTGCTTGGGTAAGACAGAAATATCTCTCCCTGACTAGAAGTGTTGATATCTCTGCTTAATCGGGCAGACTAATAGAATATTTCACCCCCTTGAGAGTGAGATAGGGGAATCTTTCCCCAAGGATTGAGATTCCCCATCTCACTCCAAGGGGGTGAATGATTCTTTTTCTCTTGCCCTGTTGACACTGTCATACATATAATGCAATGTTGCCCTTACTGGCTCAATGCATTGTTGATGTGACGTCATTGTATTGTTAGCGGGATGTCATGCAATCGTCATGACTGGCAAATCCCCTGTCTCCATCTTGGAGTGAGACAAAGGCTCCTCAAACCGGAAAAAGTGGGAAAACACTCGTCCAGGGTAAGAAAATGATACAGGATTGACTTCATGGCTTGTTGAGGCTGTATATATACATTTATTTTCACCTTTGGAATCAAAGGGTTTGATTAAACCCTTTAACCCGCAAATGAAGATTTGTGGGTAAATAGGAATTTTTTGGCAACTTGACACAGTGAAAGTACATTATGTGTAGATGTGCATGGAGAAGGAATTTGTGATTCGACTATTTTTTCAGGAGATATGGAATTTGAAACTTAAAACTTTAACTTCTGCTCCAGGAACCTTGTCAGCACAACTTCTCCTTTAATAGCTGTTTGCTGGATATTTTGTAACCAGGCACAGTGAAAGTACATCATATATATAGATCTGCAAGAAAGAAGGGACTTGTGATTGGGGTAGTGTAACCCCTGCAAACAGAGTTTCTCTTTGTGCCTTCAACTCAGCTCAAGAGACCTTCTACTGTCAATTTCAATTCTAGTTTCAATATGGTAGTATGGGATCTATTGATTCTGTTCTGTCAATAGCTTTTCTGGTTTTCTAAAATGTTATTTGGTCAGAAACATATTAAATTTTCATTTTCACCTAACTGACCAAATAGGAATGTTTTATTTATTGTTATTTCCCTCCCTTTTACAGCAATTACTGAGAGCTCAAAGAGCCTACCAAGAACTGAGTAGTAACAAAAAAGGCTTGGCAGCTACCAGTACGCGAAAAGAAAATATCAATCCTATGATGGCCTTCGATGAAATGAGACAGAACGAGCTCAAAAAGGAGAAGCCCCGTATGTTTCTGTCGGGTGACTTTAGCTGACGGACCGGTCGCCTTCTGCAGGTACTACATTGTATGTGTACATACAGCCAATCAGGGACTACCTTCCCTCGTCGCCATGATTTGTAACCCAGTCTTACCATGCATGTCACATATCCACGGCTAGGCAGCAGAACCGCATTAATTTGACTCTTGGTTTACGAAAAATGTTTATATATATATTATTCAGTAGCTTCAAGTGAAAATTTCTGTTTTATTGATCGAGAAGAATTCTATATCTTGAACACTATGTTTGAAACAAAATATGATGAGAACAACAGGTCTTGGAAAATTGGCTTTTTCACTGACTAGTGAGCATTCCTGTTTTGTAAACTTGAAAAACTGTAATTATGACACTTTGTGTGTGTGTGTGTGTGTGTGTATGTGTGATTTTTTTTTTTTTTATGAGAATTGACTGCGTGTATTAGGTATTTGGATTAATCAAATTATGCTGTTTTATCCAATTTGGTGCTCAAACATATTGTGTAAACTTTCCAGATCATATAAACGCAAAATTGTGCTCAACCTCATTATCAAAACTTTCCATATCATTGAACTTACAATCATCAGAACATATTTCACTAAATCCATTCAAATATGTCATGTTTTCAGGTATGAAAGACTTTTTAGTCTTTTTGTAAATTTGTTTTAAACATACAGGCCCTATATGCATCTTGTTATTTTGAAAAATATAATGATCATATATACTATGGGTTTTTTTCTGATACATTTTTATCTTCAACTTAATAACTTAAAAGATATTTTTTGGGGGGAGGAGGGGGCGGAATTATTAGGTGAACGGAACTGTTGAATTTTTTAATTGTGAATGACTCTGACAATATTTTACTTTAATTTAAATTGATCAAAGTAATTTTAAGGATATCATGGAAATTATTCTATAAGTTCTGTGTCTAACCTGTCCAGATCGGCATAAACTGGGAAGCAAGGCTGTATGATATATATATATACATGTGTGATGCTATACAGTTCAACTTTCTCTCAAAAATATTTATTGTTTTGAAATTTGGATTAGGAAGGACCAATAGTATAGTATGAAAGAATTGGGAGAAAATGTTTAGACCATCATATTAAAAATGATAAGAATATGAAGAAATGTTGGTAGAAACTTCAAATAACTGATAATCCTTCTTTTATTTGATATTTGTATGATATCACTGGGGTTTTTTCTCTCGTTTTTATTCATTAGTAAAACTCTGTGTTGCATCACAAAAATAACCGGTAACATTGATTTGCCTTTCACATTCTCCAGAGCAGCTCTAATTAGAAAGTTGGACTGTATATGGGTGTAGGATGCTCTCCATAGGTTAAATTTTTTTTATCATTGTAAGCAACACAGCTTATTGATATTACATTACATGTATTATGCACAATACAATGTCATACAAAGTCAAGTTCAAGCCATACACTAATAGGTATATTCACTCATTTCATAGACAAGAGGTGCGACCTAATTTCAAAAGCTTTACACACCAAAAAATCAAAAATTATACAGTTCTGTAGCATTTTCTGTACTAAGTAATTTCAAAAGCTTATGCCGTCTTTGCGTATTGCAGAGTTATCTTCTCTTGAGAGCAGGTATTGATTGTTATGTCATTTGTTATTGAGAGTAACGTCATCACTTTTTGAGAAAACGACGTAATTTTCTCACACAAACCAATGACGTAACAATCAATACTTACTCTCAAGAGAAGATAACTCTGCAATACGCAAAGACGGAATACAAGGTTGTATGTTGGGATATTTTGGTGATGGCAAATATAGGGAAGCTGCTACTATATTGGCCTGTTCTCAGTTCCCCCACTTTTTGAAATAACATGAGTAGAAGAATGTTGTTAGAAGGATTATAGTCTGTTTCTGAGTAGTACTGGCAGTATTTACCTGTGTTTTTACCTGTGGTTAACCCTTCTATCTAATAGGGTGGTGTTCTATCTAAGCTGGAAGCTGATCATATATAATTTAATAGTACATCATATTAGACTTTCAAATTTTTAATAGCAAATGTTAATTTAAAATATTTCAATATCTATTATATATATAAATATATTTATTAAATATATCCATCCTGGAGTCCACCTGTGCTGCTGATATGACATATAATAAGATGAAATATGTTATTTTTTGTTGTAATAATTTTGCACTTTAAACATATTATTAAAATAATAATATAAATAGTTATAAAATGAAACTTTTCTTTATTTTTGTAAAATTTAATAAGATGCCTAAAACCTAGTAAGAATGGTTATGTGTGACTAAGAATGTGGTGTTTAACAGTTGATAATTAAACTTTAAAAAAACAAATGCATCTAAATGTTAGTAGTCATAAAAGTCCTTTAATATCTATAATTATTCCCATCCTGGTGAAGTGATCACAGCCTATGCAAATTAGTGAGATAATGATGAGTTTTATCAGATTGAATTTGCCAAGCTGTCCTTTGATTTTTCAACTCTGGTCTATGAAGAAAAAAAATCTAGATGTTTTTATTCTGACAGGAACTACAATTGAAAAATTGTATTTTAGTAGTCCAGAAGAATTCATTATATCGAACACTATTTTTGAAAATCAAAATAGTATGGAAATACGGGTCTTGTAAAATTTGCTTTTCACTGACTTTGATGTGACAATTCCTGTTTTGTAAACTGGAAAAAATGTTGATCTAGACATTTTTATTTTTTTGAGAATTGACTATCTGGATTATTCAAATTACACTGTTAAATCCAATATGGTGCTCAATCATATTGTCTAAACTTTCAAGATTATATAAACACAATATGGTGCTCAGTCTCATCATTAAACCATCCTTCGATTGTTTGTAATAGGAAGCCTCGTAGTCTTAGGATAACAGACATTATTATTTTCCCGGTCATGATGTGGTGTGAGGCACACAATGTTATCTTTGTTATTAAAATGCCTAAATCACTTCTTGTGGATGTTGAAAGTAATTATTAAATGCATTAAATTTGCTGGTAACCTGCTAACTACTGTAGGGTTGTGATAAAATGAGGAGGCAAGAATAACGAAAATTGGTTGAATATTTTGTTCACAATCTCGAAAATCCGAAAAAATTAGATCACATTTTTAAAACAATCTATTTTACCTCATCAAAATACAAAACATTCCCGCATACGTCATGTATCTGGTAGTGCTCTGCTTATGATTTACTTTATCATATATATACATTTATACTCTTTTAGGTCCTTACACCCAGCCCTGCTAGGAGGAAACCTGTTCGAAGAAATAGCTTGCTGTCATTTGTTAATAGGATGTCCCGAGAAGTGGCGTTATTGTCCTTACCCGTCAACTCAATATCTTGTTATAATATTCATCAACTCATTCACCCCCGAAATTTCATAATGAACTATTCCAACCTTTGAATTGGAAGAGTTCAAATGTGTCTTCAGAGGTGAATGAGTTAAAATGTTTCCATATGCATATTAATTATTTAGGGAGATAATTACTCTTATGTAGAACTTACATATATACAGTTTTCCCCTGCAAACAAATATTGGTTTATTTTATAATGCTTAACAAAACGTAGTTTAGAGAATTTTAAAGTCTAGGATTAAAAAGAATGAAGTTTGATTTGATCATGTCGATCAAACTTTTGTAAGCATCGTTGTTTAGAAATATTGTAGTTTAAGGTATATATTAATTTACTCATTCATTAGAATTACTATTAGATATATTAGGCTGAATATTATATGTGCATCAATAATCTCATCATAATCATCATCATCATTGTACTTGTCGGTTACAAGTTAAAAGTTATATATTTAGAACAGTTCTAATTTACTTGTCTTTATAAAATTATCATGTGTCTTTTGCTTAAGTTACTTTATAACTTGTTTTTCTTCTTTCTTTCATTCTGTATTTCTTCCTTCTTTCATTCTGTATTTCTTCCTTTTTCTTTATTTCGCAAGCTGATATTTAATTTTCAGTAGTTTTGATTTTCTTTTCTTTCATTCTGAATTTCTTCCTTTTTTCTTTATCTTGTTAGCTGATATTTAATGATCAGTAATTTTGTTATCTTGCTTTATACAATACTGTTTAGTTTAGTGGGGGGTGGGGGAGAGAATTCCGTTTTTATTGAAATATTCTTAGAAACCATTTTAAATTGATATAATATGAACAATGTATCAAATTTGGTTACCTCTCCTGCAGGTAAAAGTGCTACAACCAACAGAATGAGTATCAATGTCACCTTTTTTTTCCCACAGCCATTAAAGGTGTCCTCACTGCTGACTCATTTGATAAACCTGCTAGGAGTTGATTAACAATTTTAGTTACCCACTAGTTATTTCATTTATATTTACCATCGAATTGCATTGCCACTAATACATAACCCTACCAAATTCAGGTGGCATGAATGCCATGGACCTATTGTTGACCACACGATTCATGGGATATGTCCAGAAAGCTAATGTTGCCCTGTGCTCCGTCCCAAGATCACTCACTTCAAACGCTATCAGTATCACGCGTCTCTCAGCCGCGGTTTCATGAATGTTGAAAAAAACACATTTCATTCCTTAAGTCAATCACCTATTTATAACGTTATAGTTCATGGCAATGGTTTTTGGAAACAGGCATTATGTGTTCCCAAGTGTAACCACAAAGGTACATTGTATTTAGGTATTGTATCTGAATGTTGTGGGAGAAAAAGGTCCTCAAACTTGTGATGGTTGATTATCATGTTTATCTAACTCTCTTTAGTTAATTTCCAAATTGTTAAAGACACTTGGTAAATATTGTGTACAAAAATGTATTTATGCAGTGTTAAAATTGAAAAACACATGCACGGTAGTGTAGTGGTAGGATGCCGGGCTTGTGACCAAAGTGTTGCATGTTCGAATCACGGCACGCCACTGTGTTGTATCTTTGAGCAAGATACTTTATTCCGCTTGTTCCAGTCTACTCGGCTGTAAATGAGTACGCGGTTGGTTGCAAAGGCCCTTTAACCACTCATAATGATTTGTGAACCATTTGAGACGACCTACGAACTAGGTTGTGATATAGCGGTATATAAGAACCTCTAATTATTATTATTATTATTATAGATAAACATGACAACCAATCAGCACTCGTTGGTGCACCTCTTATTAACAAGCATATTTGCTTATTAAAGAAGTCAAGTTTGTAATCCGCGACAAAGAATTCTCAATTATCATTTTTCTGGGACTGTTTTTTAAAAATGTTTACATGGTATTGTCATTAAGAATAATGCGTAAATCATTATGAACGTGGAATTTACGTAAAAGGGTTATTACATGTTGTAGATTAAATAGTAATTAAATTTGTAGGGATATTTTTAATATTGTTGGTTCAGAGGCAATATTTCACTATTGGGAAAATCACTGTTTGTTGTCTTTATTATATTATAGAAGTTATACCAACAGCAAAATTTAATATCCTTCAAAATGATAGCTTCTGTTGTGTAGTTTAATCCCTTAATACTAGTGAAATTGTTGATTTATCATGTCAATGTATCAATTTTATAGCCTACGGTAGAAGAATGGGAGAAAATATGAATGAAGATTTTGTGTGAAATAAGAGGAAACTATGTTAGAATGATTGTCTAATGAAATGATAATACAATCAGTTTTGTGTTGTGTATTTTATTTTTCACTTTTAATACCTTGGCAACTAATAGCTTATATGTGATGACCGAGCAGTGAGGGTGTCTGATCATCTATTATCACTAGCCCTCCACCACTCTGTCACTGGTTCAAGGGTATTTGGGGTGCACTCTGTCACTGGTTCGAGGGTACGTGGGGCAGCCGTCATGTACTTGCCCAATGTTGGTGATATTATTCATTTCTGTAATAATTACCATAACTTTAGTATGCATAATTCAATACCTACACCCATCTTTGTAGTCCAAAAACAAAAGATTCAAATATCCCGTCTTCCCTACCGTCACGTGACCCATATCTCAACGACAGCGCCACGGAGTGATCTAGATCTCCCATCCTCTTCCTTTTATGGCGCCTGCTGTGTGCCGACGGCCCTGATATTATATGAGATACTCTGGTATTTCTCCATCAACAAAGCCTTGCTTGTCTTTAAATGATTATAGCTGTTAACCTTTTCACCACTGTAGACCATAATGGACTAATCCAGATCAATGAGAATCCAGATCGAAGAGAAGTGGTTCCCATCACACTTGTTTCGAAATAGTATAAAATTATTGGGACTCCACTGTTTAACTTATTCATCCCCGATGACACTTTTGAACTCTTCCAATTCAAAGGTTGGAATAGTTCATTATGAAATTGCAGGGGTGAATGAGTTAAATGATAAAGGGGTTCTGCCAACATTTTTTAAAACTTTGTAAGGCAAATTCCATAGAGGACCTTATTCCTTCAAAATACTAAGGTTGACTCAAAACAAAACAAAACAAAATCAAATTTGAGCAAAAGAATTAAGGACAAAATTGAGCATTGGTTTGAGAGAGAATGACACAAAAGACATGGGAAGGGGACAGTTAGATGTAGGATTTAACATAAAAGCATTCATGGGCATGAATTTCATTAACAACACGAAAAAAACAGCTTAAAGAGCAGATAACCACCTGTGCATAGAACGTGTATCTACAAATCAGCAGAAAGGCTTCACGCGCAACCTGAAAATCAAAACACCCACGCATATAGAAGCCAGATTGTAATGAGCACAAATGCACCCGTATGTGAATTTAGTTGACTGTGCATGCATTGGTCTGGATGAGTCCATTATGGTCTACAGTGGTGAAAGGGTTTTGCATTGTAAGTCCAGGAGAAAGATTTACCGTTCATAAATGACAATCCTAGCAGGTGCCAAGGTAATCAATTTGATGATAAGTCAGAACATTCGGACAAAACATGGTAACACCAGCACGGCATGCTACCAAGATTGTCATGGCTGTTGTTGGCATACAATATCCCAACTTCTACAGTGGAATCGGAGAATGATGAATGGATATCTGAGAAAGGGGTAGGGTTCTAAACATTGGCTCGGATGAACTGCAGTTACCGTCGACATTGGTGCATGATGGTTATGATGCAGATGGACCCCAAAAGCAACGATTATCAAGGCAGGTTAATTGGCTCTTGACACTTCTACGTGAGAGGCAAAGAGAATAGAGTTGAGCTAGGGTATTATTATTAGAATCACATGTGTCGGACAACACAGAGTTGTTGGCAACTCTCGTTTAAATTAAAGGGAGAAGGCAAGCTCTCCGAAAATTAGACATTTATCGGAAGAAAAGCGGGAAACCTATGAATCTTGGTAAGCAAAGGGTATCACCTCGATGTTACCTTTTGGAGAGGAAGGCGACATGGACCGAGTTGGTGTGGATTGAGTTTTTCTGGATATTTTTTCAAGGAAAGGTCTGTGTATGATATCTATCATCGCATGTCAAACTTCCCTTGTTGTGGCTGACAGAAGTTTAAAAAAACCCCGAGAATACCGGTTAGCAGTTGACATTTATGATATTCGGAGTAAGTTCTTGAGTACTGACTCAACTTAAACGTGTAAACACCGTATGTAGGGGAAGCATGCAGTTGCTGTCAAGAAAGGGAAGTTTAAATCGTACATCTTAGAAGCAGTCCCTGTGTTAGGGGGATCTGTGGTGCCTTGCATCTTGCCGATATGAGAGGGTCACTACTGCAGTAGAAATGCGGACTGCAACAAGAAAACGTCTTTCAAGCATTAATAGATATGCTTGTAGCTGCATAAGAGACAGATACAAAAACAGAATCAACGACAGGCCTGACAGGGTTAAAGTTTGTAAGACCATCAGAGAACTACAGAAAGACTTAGAAGTATATCCTCCATTCTGTTATGGCCACCGACATGTAGATGATGGTGGATCTAGTCAGGCTGACTTTTCAAGGTATCCTACATGGTGGAAATAACGGTAAGGCCTGACACCATACTTCGGTAAAAGTTGCTTAGTTTTATCGCTGTCAAGTAGAAAAATCTTAGTCCCCATAATGAGAACTTAGGTAGTGACAACAAAACACAATAAATAATAGATAACCTCGACTTTCATATAACACAAAAATAGCATATTTCCCGCATTGAGATCGTGATGGTGACCATAAAACTTCATCTACCGGCATCATTGTTGTTCTTCCGTCAGCATCCGATGAACTACCGTAGTTTCGGGAATAAGGGATGGGGGACTACTGTCAAGAAAGGGAAGGTTCATGATAGGAAAATTGAAATCGCCCTAAAATTTGATACAACAACAAGACAAAAAGATGTTATCGTTAATAAATGTTTTATTTTCAAAGATTCGTATGCGTAATGTAGTCATGAATGGCAAAATGAGTTCTATGTATAGACAATTAAAAAAAAAATCGTGTGACGATTGTTTATCGTATTTATCTAATTCTGTATAACTTTCAAATTGCAGAAAGTCACAAGGTTTATTTTTGAATGTTGTACGTTAAATAACGAGAGCTAGATAATAGGATTAACAACTATCATTATAATTTCTTTCTACCATAACCCACTGAACGGTTTTTTCCTCACTAAACTGTAAAACCAGAACGAAAACCTTTCCTTTCGGAAGACCTCTTTTTTTGCCGTCGCGGCCTTCCATGTCCTGTAATTGTTGACTTGCTATTATATATATATGTATTTGAAGGTCATGGGGTCAACATAATGTGTCACGCGTTCTCTCACGATCAATGAAATTGCTTACTACAGTGATGATCAATGTTTACGCTAGATTGAACATGCCTTGAGCATGGTATAGCACACGAAGGTTATGGCAGACGTATTGCTGTATCATCGGTAAATTTTGTGGATAAATCCATATAATTATATCAATAATGTAAAGCATTTATGTTTCTTGAATAGCACAAAATACTGTGGTGTTAATATTTGTAACGGGATGAAGTAAAAAATAGACAAAAATGTATCGTGGTGTCAGGATTTTTGGGGAATTGGCTTCGTCTTAACATATGATTGGATCTTTGAAAATCAACGATGCAGTATCAATCTCCCAGGTATATTGATCATGTGATACATTTATTATTCAACCTTAACGAGAGAACAATAATTTCGTTTGAAAACTAAGTCTCGCTACATATCATGAAGAATTGCGAAAAAATAATTATCTCCCCTTAATTTCGTTCCGATATTTGACTATAGCGTAATTAACCCTTTCACCCCTAAGTAACTTTAGTAGACTCTACCATGCATTGATACGGATGTGTCCATTATGGTCTACAGTTGTAAAATGGTTAACTGACACATGCTGCCTCTGTTGACCAGGCAGCTTACTAGTATATATATGCAGTTGGTTTCAGCGATAGTTGTACTGATCTGCGTCCAGGGTTCTTGTTTAAAATCAGAACCCTGTTTTTATCTTCATGGATTTTGCATAACAGCCCCGCAATGAAAGCTATTCATTTCAGAAATGATTTATCAAAAGTATAGTCATGTCAATAAAACGTTTCCAATATGCAGTCACATGTGCTTTGGCAGTGGTACGGGGATCCTTAACGGTTCTTGCTGACGTTGGTGTGCTTATAGTTGAGGCAATCGCAACTTCTCGGCTAATTCCGGCTAGGAATGATTCCGCGCTTAGCCGGAATTGGCCGAGAAGTTGCGATCGATAGTTGAGGGTATTGATGCAATCGGGGACCGTCGGCTCTTTCCGAACTCGTTTACGGAAGGTACCGACGGTTCCCGATTCGATCGGGTATTGATGATTAACATTAAAATTATACAAAGATGAAACATTATCTGGCCTTGGTAATGATTGCTGAATATGGCGCCAATAGCATGGACTTCTCTTTTATAAATACATCTTTTATTAATATATAAAAATATATTTGCCGACCTCTCGTCTTCTAACACTGAGATCAATTTAAAAACAATTACAATACAAAAGTACACACTCTCAGGTAACATCGTATGGATAAAACAAGTAATGAGATATATACAGGTGATCACATTTAAGCACTATAAACTACAAAAGGTTCCTTCAAATAATATTATTGGGTGAAATTGTTTTTCTCGTAGAACCCACATATTTCGCACATTTGCAATAGTTTCAATTTTGCACTATATGTGATATGTATATTTACAGTGAACAAAACAAGATGATGTGTTTATTATGATACATTATATTGACATGCTCCCTCACTCGCACACTTGATCTGTCTTTTTACAATATATGCTAGCTGTGACACGTTTGCTTCGGTTTTTACATAATCTTGTCATGTCTAATAATATGAGTTATTTAAAACACATTTGATCTTAATTTCCACAATATACCATTTTGTTTGAACAACACATTATTAAAGAAATACAAAAGCCATAATTACATTTCTAAAACATATATTTGCACAAAATATATATTTGATAATACACCTAGATATGTCTTTTTGCATAAAACAATGCACTTACTTTGTCAATTTTAATATACTTTTCGTGTAATTCATTTCAAATAATTTTGATTTTTCTTCCATTTGTTTGTTGACCAGATTATGTCTGTGATTGGTTAAACTAGCACCGTTTGCGCGTTATAATAAGAAGGATAAATCACGTGATATATGGGCCCAGTCACGTGATAGAAGAATCCAATCACGTGTTAGAAAAGTACATCCATTTGATAGAAGAGGGCTGATCACATGCTTTTGCTGGAAAAACTCCATAACGTGATAGAAGAGCTTGACCACACGTTAAAGTAGCCCGACCATGTTGGCAGCGGAGACGACGATAAGGAAGGCAATGGTCAAGACAGAGTAGGAAACGCCACTGGCTCCGGACACCCTGCACCTCATTGCGTCATACCTGGTAAAGGTAAGTATAATGAATATCATGAAAAGTTATGATATGTTTCCGAGCAGTAATACCATAAACCATTTACTTAATTGGGTTCCTTTGTTATCTTTACTTGGACAAACATTTTGATTCTTACAGTTACTTTTTAATACAGTGTTTGTTATGTACAAAACATCAAAGCTCCAAAGTACAAGCAAATCATTATATATAAACAAAGGTTATTGTATATGCAGCTTTTACTATTATGATCATGATTTTTTTAAACGTTAAGCTAGTCTGTTTAGCGCAAGCTTGTAATTATTAATAGCATTTATATACAGTAAAATAACGTTATACTACCATTGTTGGGAAATTTCGGCGTTATAAAGTGGTTTGGCGATAAATTGAAAGAAATATATAAAGGATCTCTTAAGAAAGGGAGAACATGGGACCTTGAAATGATTTGGCGATATTTGAAGTGNGGGGCAGGGTTATATCGAGGTTTATATATATATGGGTTTGGCATGTAAAGCATTCTAGTATTCACTTTGCATATTAGTTGCATAATATTCATTGACCAATGATATATATATATATACTTATAGCAAACCCTTATCATTTTAACTTACAAATTGAAGAGTCCCTGCTGCTTTTTCTGGTACTCGAGCTCAATGAGAGAACCCTGGACCCATTCACGTCCGTCCTTGAATGGGTACTCGAAGCCTCTCTTGCACGCGCATTTGTAGTTTCCCCTCGTAAACTTGTATCCAGAAATCTGGGAGCACTATGGATGAAACAAACAAATTCATTTGTAATAGACAAACAATTACAATATTTGATTATGAATAATGTTCCTGGTAGACAATCATAAACACTAGCAAAACATGGAATTTGTTTAATAGACACCACTAAGTAATAAGGGGTTACTGATAGAATGAAAGTATGCAAATTCCGATATTGCTCATTTTAAAAGCGTACGTTCATGATGAAACAAGAACAACCTCGTTCATCGCAATTTAATCAGTGGTATTGGAATAAAGAACATTTGAAAAAAATACCAACAGATTTCTGAGGGAGCAAGAGAGAAAAGTTTTGATGAGTTTACTGGAAATACTTATTTTACTTGACCGTCATTGATTATGTAACTGCATAAAACTATGCCGTATTTGTTTAACATGCATTATTAAGTCGTTACGAATCCCCTTCCCACTGCACTCTGGATGTTTGCGTATATACAGTAACTTCCCCTTAATTTCGTTTTGGATGTTACTGTAGCACAGGTGGCTAGGGTTCAAATCCCGGTCTATCTCCATTTAACGTTTACATTCGAGTATGATTTCCAGTCTGAAATGATTTATCAAAGCTAAAGCCAGGCCGAAAAAACCCAGTTTTCAATTCGTAGTCAAAGTTTTTGGCAGTGGTACGGAGATTTTTAAATGTATGCTAAATCGTGAAAGAACCTGTGTATTGTATCATTAGGGTCCCTTATACGCCATTACTTACAGTCTGTGTACGGTAGTCACATCTTGCAGTGTTCTTGAAGGCGTTGGCAATGGCAAAGGGCTGGGTACACTGGTTGATGTCTAGATAATCCAGAGGCACGTCAACAGTCACCATACCCCTGAAAGATTAAATAATGATAAAGTTTTACTATCTTGTAAAGTCTGACCACGAATGACCTGTCGTGTTGACCTTAGATTTCCATGAAAATTACGGGCGAGTCGATACTCAGAAAGGGAAGTATAAGTAGATCTTTGTTTCAGGCGAGTCGATACTCGGATAGGGGAGATAGGTAGATCTATGTTACAAGCGAGTCGATATTCAGATAGGGGAGTATAGGTAGATATATGTTACAGGCGAGTCGATACTCGGACAGGACAGTAAAGGTAGATCTATGTTACAGGCGAGTCGATATTCAGATAGGGGAGTATAGGTAGATCTATGTTTCAGGCGAGTCGATATTCAGATGGGGGAATACGGGTAGATCTATGTTACAGGCGAGTCGATATTCAGATAGGGGAGTATAGATAGATCTAGTTTTCAGGCGAGTCGATTTACAGATAGGGGAGTATAGGTAGATCTAGTTTTCAGGTATGCAAAACATGAAAAATAAACTAAGGCATTAGTGATACGGTCGTGATGACTAAACAGTTGCACTGAGCAAATTTTATTTGTTGACATCGCAACAACTACTTCTGTTTACGTCAGCTCTGTGGTATATTGCACATATAATATGTAACCAAGGGACCAGTCTCAGTAAAAACTGCGTTTCTAGCTTGTTTCAGAAACACATTTCCGGGTTTAGACTTTGGCACAAAATAAGTAAAAGTGGTCAATAGTTCTAACTCTCAATCAGGAAAGCAAAAAAATCGTATAATTAATAAACAGCATTTTTGTCCAGTCCGCGAATATATTTAAACGCAATGCTAAAATATAAACACCGCACAATATGCAGGTGGTTGAAGTTATATAAACATGGCTGACTTACTTGAAATGTAGCGTCTTCTTAATGCCGTTCTTGCCGATGAAGGGTACGACGTACGTGACTACCCAATCGTCGACTCGTCCGTCACACTTAAATACTGGACGCGTCCAGTACCCGTCCCCTACACTGGGAGCCCAGTAACCCATGGGATAATGTTCATGTTTGATGGTACTTGTACCGTTGATATCGGACCGGATCAGATTCTTCATCCTGTATTTCAGTACTCCCTTAGTGTTTGTCTGCCATCGTTCTTTTATGACGCGATACCAATCAGCGTCCGTATAACGCTCCTTCAAACCAGCTGTGTCTATGGCGTAATAATTGCCGTCTGCCTTGTACGCTAGGGGGCCAAAGAACTCCCGAGATTTGCCATTTATGTCCTCGAACACGTACGGCTCATAGAATATACCGCTTGAGACTATTTTGAAATCGGACATGACGTTTGCGATGACTTCACCGAACAAATGCTCGTAGTGAAGTCTACCACCTCCCTTCATGTATCCAAAATTTTCGTCCGGTGCGGTGTTTTGCATGAAGTTGCTGATAAAGTGGGAGATTCTTAGCGCCATTCTTGCCTGCATTTCGAACTGCTTGTCGGCGCCATATGCCACAGATCCAGGAAGCTCCAAGGCTGACGGAGACATGGTGTGACAATTATCTTTCGTCACTGCTGCCTTCTTCTTAAAAATCTTCATCATTTTGTCAATGGCTACTTCGTCAAAGTTGGTGGAACGTTTCCGTCGTTTCTTTTTCTTTTCTTTTTCTTCGTTTTCATCTCTGCGCACTCGTACTCTCTCGAGGGATTCTCGTCCATCTACCACCGATTTCAGAGCCCGTCGTTGGATGCCCTCGGTTTGGAATTTTCCAGAGCTTCCACCCTCAAAGGAAACCGGCTCAGTATTCTCCACCACAGGGGGAACTCTCAGGACTGTAATACAAGTAATAAGCTTATTAATTCTTTATATCGAAAGTAATTCCTTCAGGACGCAACTTTATAAAACGTAAACTGAATAATTGTCCTAATGAGGGGTTTATGCCAGTTTTGACAATCGATTGTTTTGATTGTGTTTGTCAAAATATGTTTCTTGTTTTGCCTTTTTTTTTTTTAAAGAATACAGCTACTCAGTATCTACATCGAAATTAAAATGCAATACGATAACAACCCTGGACCAAGAGGGGAAACCCTTCCAGAGCAGATGGTGTTGCTCCCTGTTAAGTTTTTGTGGAGGTTCCTAAAGCCTTTTGGCATCTGCTCAGCTTTAGGTATTTAATTTTTTGTTTCTTCTTCTGTTTCTATGCTCATACTGTGATAATTGTTTTCAATTTTAACTCTTCCTTTTAAATGTTAAAGTTAGGTTAACTTTTATTACATTTGTTCCCGTAAAATATGCGATGATTAATTGAAAGGAATTTTGGTATTTTTCTTTAGTGACAAATTACACGTTTTGTTATTTTTTTTCTGCAAACCGACCAATCAGAGAGCTGGGATTATTTTGAAAAAATTGTGACATCACAGTTGTTAGACCGACCAGTTGAGTTTGAAAAATGTGACGTCCCAAAAACGTTTTCGGAAGTCAGAGATTTTATAAATAAAATACGTAAAATACAAAATATTCTTGGATTTTGATGAAAAACGGCAATATTTCAGTCGTTAATATAAAAATATAAAAAAAATCACCCACACATAATAAGTTTGCTGAACTTTTATTACATGTTTACCCGTAAAATATGAGATGATTCTTTTTAACAAATGGCACCTTTTGTTATTTTCACCTAAAACCGACCGATCAGAGAGAGAAAGAGAGAGTGCTGGGATTAGTTTAAAAAGTGTGACGTCACAGTTGTTAGAACGATCAGTTGAGTTTGAAAAATGTAGACGCCACAGAAACGTTTTCTTATTGTTACGTTAAAATACAGGGTGTCTTAACATATTTTAGAGGCAATTGACTACTAGTTTATGTTCACAAAAACCAGTCTTCATAACGAAACACGTAATGTACAGAATATTCGTGGAGTACGATGAAAAACGGTAATATATATATTTCAGTCATTATTTGAAAAATATCAAAATGTATAAGTATATGTTTTTCACAAGGATTCAAGAATATGCTCTCTTACTCTCTGGAATCTTGATCGAGTTTCAATGTACTTTTATCACATAACTGGCCCAATTTACTATGTCAAACGGCCATGTCGTAAATATGGTATTACACACGTGTAATCAAAGGTCGAAGGTGCTGCGATTGGCTTGTGTCATACAAAATTATTGAACTCGCGTAATAAATTAAATTTGTCATTGACACTCAAGTAGGATCCTTTATATATCAGATGCCAGATAGTTAACGTAGAGAGATAAATCAGAAAATAAAAACGAAAAATGACATAAAAAATGAGTAAACAAAGATTTATCTTTATCTCCCATATAGAACCAATTTTAGCTGAAAACTTACAGTCAGTACGTATACATTCGTAACTGTGGATGTACTCTTCCTCGGTAGCTTTCTCTAGATCTGTGCCGAGGTAAGGTCCTTTCACATCCCAGGGGTAGTGATGTCCCGACTTACATTGACAGATGTACGACCCTCGTCTAAAGCCGCGCCCACTTTTATGTTTGCACTGAAATGGAATATGAACATAATGTTGTTAAGTAATAATTCAGAAAATCAGTTTCTAAAATTATCAAACAGGAATACAACCTCACGTTTCTAGGTATTCTGTCTTTGCGTATTGCAGAGTTATCTTCTCTTGTGAGCAGGTATTGATTGTTACGTCATTGGTTTGTGAGAGTAACGTCATCAATTTTTGAGAAGACGACGTAATTTTCTCACACAAACCAATGACGTAACAACCAATCCCTGCTCCAAAGAGAAGATAACTCTGCAATACGCAAAGACGGAATAGCAGCAACAACGAAATAATGACAGTGCAGACACATATATCAGATTTTAGAGGAGATCCAACCCTTCACAACGACACAATCAAGAAAGGATCACCAATCATATAACACAGTACAGAGAAAAATATTACTGTAAGTATATTTAGGATATAAGTCATATTTTAGTTTCTTAGAAGATTTATTACATGAGTGAACATAAAAGATAGAGTATGTAATCGACGAAATAATTTTAAGATTCCTGTCCCAAGGCACCGTGTTATTTCCTATATAGAGTAATCTCCCTAAATTTCGTGTTGGATGTAACTGTAGCGAAGTTGGACCATGATACTTCCGTTTACCATGTTCTTCAGTCGGTGGAAGAATCTAAAGTCCAGGGTTCGAACCCTAGTCTAGCTTCTCTAACGTTTTACACTCTGATAACTGGGCCCGTATTCATGAAACTGTTCTCATGCTCAAGCATGGATTTTGTACTCAAGCCACATTTCTTGTTCCCGTTATAAATTAATAAAATTAAATAATTTTGTCAATGGTTTGGACATTTATTGAAGAGACATACAGCCGAATACTGTTTTCAATGTTTACATTTGACTTTTTGATCGTTTGACATGATTTAAGCGAGTTACAAGAAAGTTGGTTTGAGCACAGAATCCATGCTTGAGCATGAGACCGGTTTCATGAATATGGGCCCTGGTATTGAATATATTTTGGTTATTACATTATCATTTTTCATAAAAGTACCGCAATGTATGATATAATACATATTTAGTAAACACCAGGTTCCCTCTTCAATTTTCCAAAGCATAGGTTTTGGCAGTGGTACGGGGATCCTTAAGGGAACTACGTCTTGGTATCAATATAATCTGAACACAGCGGAGGTACTTTAAATACAAGATATCAAGTAATATTATACAAAAATAACAACGGGAAAAAGTACGAAACAATTGTTTAGATTGTACCGCAGGAGATCTTAAACTGAAATACCTTTTGTTATATCGAAATAAAAGCAAATAATCAAAACCTGATCTCGTGAGAGAAGGAAGATGGTGTTTTGGATTAGTGACATGTGTTGTTTTCTCAAAGCTGTTTTATAAATGTCATATAAAAATTGTGATGTGTGATACTTCTTGCTTTTAAGAATCATTTAACTCCTTCATATTATCGCTGCGCTGTCGATTCTTCCGATCGGTGATGAGATATTGACAAAACAGATTTTTAATGGGTTAAAGGACATTAACATTCTATGTAAGCTGTTTCTGTGTGCCTATTCAGACACAGACGGCCATGAAAATCTGAAAGGTTTTTACTTCCTATTCAGTTCATATTCTTATCTCGTAATTATATCTATTCATGATAATTTTTCCTGAGCTCTACTTTTACCCTGTATTCCTACGCAAGTCAACACTAGGACCTACTAAAATTGCGGAATGATACAGTACAATACGGAACGAAATGATACTAAAACACGGAACGGTGATACGATACGGAATGGAGCGGCAGGTTGGAATATGGAATAAAGACAAAATGATAAAATGATCATGAACACATTCATCACAAATGCTATATTCACTGTGGTCATCGGACATGCGTCAAGTGCATACCAAAATATCCCAATCTCCCACTCCAACATTTTCTTACCCCAGTAGTGACTGTTTTGCATCTGGCAACGCCACACAGATGGCATGGGCCAGGATTTCCGATAGACGCTGGGCATGAGTTATAATCAATTTCCTGGAAATGCATGTCCATGGTAACCACTCCAACGAATCTGTATGGATAGATATAAACAATCAGTTAAATCATACACTAATGCACGTCACACTGCAATCCCCAGATTGACGCCTGCTCTATTGTAACACTGACATACGCAGATTGACGCCTGCTCTATTGTAACACTGACATACCCAGATTGACGCCTGCTCTATTGTAACACTGACATATATCCAGAATGACGCCTGCTCTATTGTAACACTGACACCCAGATTTACGCCTGCTCTATTGTAACACTGACATACCCAGATTGACGCCTGCTCTATTGTAACACTGACATATACCCAGAATGACGCCTGCTCTATTGTAACACTGACATATACCCAGATTGACGCCTGCTCTATTGTAACACTGCAATCCCCAGATTGACGCCTGCTCTATTTTAACACTGACATATACCCAGATTGACGCCTGCTCTATTGTAACACTGACATACCCAGATTCACCTCTTTCCCATAGTTATATACAACCCTCCGATTGAGTAGTTTATCTATGTGACTGTATGGAATACTGTGCTAGTTGAGGTAGCACTCTGAAGTCGGCATCAAATCCTCACTGTCGTAAGGAAACAAATACATTAACATATGGCATCTAGCAGACATACACAAACACATGTATCCATTACACACATGGATGCACGTCCTTAATTGACCTTAGCTGATCAAAGGACACTTAACCAAATACATTCAAACCAAACCAAACGTGTATCTATGACGTTGTTTATCTCCCAACACTAAGACATATCTATTACTTTGTTACAACTTTTAGACTTGCTATTACAATGTTATATTAAAACTCGGAGACTTATTTCTATTATATTGTTATATTAAAAGTCGAAGACTTATTTCTTTTACGTTGTTATATAAAAACTCTGAGACTTATTTCTAATATATCGTTATATTTAAACTCGAAGACTTATTTCTATTATATCGTTATATTAAAACTCGAAGACTTATTTCTATTATATCGTTATATTAAAACTCGAAGACTTATTTCTATTTTATCGTTATATTAAAACTCGGAGACTTATTTCTATTATATCGTTATATTAAAACTCGGAGACTAATTTCTATTATATCGTTATATTTAAACTCGCAGATTTATTTGTATTACATTGCTACATCTATTTCTCTTATCTCATTTACAAGAATTAAATATATAAAATGCACTACGCACAATAACAGCCAAACATATCCGCTTCTGTCTCAAATTAAGTGTGTTTACGTAACCCGTAGCTGTTGAATGTAAATACAACATTACTATTCATAATCGTGCAAAATAGAGCTTTCTGTCTGATGGAAATTGTTTTTAAAACATATTTTATACAAACAAGGAACATTAAGAGCGAATAGTATGCAGTGCATGTGCACAACTTAAATCCGCCATGTAGGCTTTTGGCAATTACATACACAGCTGTTTGAAATCATTTGCATAATAGCTTGTTAAACTAAAACCTGAAATCAAGGACAAGTTCACGCTGGGCCTGGGTAGTTCTATGTCTGGTTTGGTTTGTTTGGATTTTACGTCCTATTAACAGCTATGGTCATTTAAGGACGTGCCAGGTTTTGGTGGTGGAGGAAAGCCGGAGTTCAAGGAGAAAAACCACCGACCTACGGCCAGTACCTGGCAACTGCCCCACGTAGGCTTCGAACCCGCGACCCAGTGGTGGAGGGCTAGTGGTAGCAGAATGTCAGACGCCTTAACCACTTGGCCACCGTGTTTCCTCCTATGTCTGGAGCTCCGACAAAATAGTGGTTTTCTTATATATTATTACACGTTTTGTAGTATAATTTTTGGATCACCAGTATCTGTTTTTTCGAATTTTCGGTGGAAATGTGTGTTTTGGACATTTGAGTTAGGACAATGGCCTGATACCCTACCTAGTGACTACTGCTCACAGCACACTGTACTATAGCTACATGGACTTGTATATATATGTTGACTTGATATATGTAATATTTAGTGGAAGCCATGGCCACCAGAAAGCAGAGTATCGGAGGAGCAGTCGGGGTTAAGAACAGGGGAGCGGATAAGAATATTGAGGACAGACTCGATGATATTACATCCTTGTTAACTACACTCATAACAAAGGCAGACTTTGATTCCAAGATGAAGAAGTTGAAAGAAACCATACGAGAGGAAAATAGAGAACTTGTTAAAGAACTCTAAGGGAGAGTGTTCGAACTGGAAATGGAAAATGAGAATCTCCGTCTGACTATTGGAAACCTGGAGACCCAGGTCGGTGATCTCCAGTGTTCTAAGGACGCTAGAATACACGGACTTAAGGACACATCTGATTCAGAGACTGTGGCGGAATGTGTGGACAAATTCATGAACTTTGTGTCTTCCAAACTTGAGGTGCATATTACTAAGGGGGACCTTGACATTGCTCATCGTCTTGGAAAGTTTAACCGGGAAAAACCGAGAAACATCATCGTCAAGTTTACGCATCGACGAAAAAGGAACAAGGTCATCAAAGCCCGCTCAAAATTGAAGAAGACTGGATATATGGTTTTCGAGGATCTCACGAAGATCAACCAGCAGGTCCTCAAGGACGCGTATAAACTTCAGTGTGTGAAGAACTCATACATTACGGACGGTAAGCTTTTCGCTATACTGACTGATGCTAGTGATTGGATAGTGTGTGTAAATTTGTGTATCTGTGATTGTGTCATTTCTTTTGGATAACTTATTTCTATTACATCGTTATATTACAACTCGAAGACTTATTTTTTTACGTTATTCTATCAAAAGTCGTAGACTTATTTCTATTACATTGTTATATTAAAACTCGAAGACTTATTTCGTTTACATTGTTCTATCAAAAGTCGCAGATTTATTTCTATTACATTGTTATATTAAAACGCGCAGACTTGTTTCTATTACATTGTTATACTAAAACGCGCAGACTTGTTTCTATTACATTGTTATATTAAAATTTGCAGACATATTTCTATAACATTGTTATATTAAAACTTGCAGACTTATTTCTATTACATTGTTATATTAAAACTTGCAGACTTATTTCTATTACATTGTTATATTAAAACTCGAAGACTTATTATTCTTACATTGTTCTATCAAAAGTCGCAGACTTATTTCTATTACATTGTTATATTGAAATTTGCATACTTATTTCTATTACATTGTTATATTAAAACTTGCAGACTTATTTCTATTACATTGTTATATCTAAACTCGAAGACTATTTTTTTTTTACATTGCTCTATCAAAGGTCGCAGACTTATTTCGATTACCTTGTTCGATCAAAAGACGCAGACTTATTTCTATTACATTGTTATATTAAAACGCGCAGACTTATTTCTATTACATTGTTTTATTAAAACGCGCAGACTTATTTCTATTCCATTGTTATATTAAAACGCGCAGACTTATTTCTATCACATTGTTCTATCAAAAGTCGCAGACTTATTTCTATTACATTGTTATATTAAAACTTGCAGACTTATTTCTATTACATTTTATATTTAAACTCGAAGACTTATTTCTTTTACATTGCTCTATCAAAAGTTGCAGACTTATTTCGATTACATTGTTATATTAAAACTTGCAGATTTTTTTTCTATTACATTGTTATATTAAAAGTCGCAGACTTATTTCTATTATATTGTTCTATCAAAAATCGCAGACTTATTTCGATTACATTGTTACATCTACTACTCTTATCTCATTTACAAGAACACAAACAATTAAATTTATAAAATACACCTCGCGCAATAACAGCCAAAATATCCACTTCTCTCTCAAATTAAGTGTGTATGCGTAACCCGTAGCTGCTGAATGTAAATACAACATTACTATTCATAATCGAGGTTTCTGTCTGATGGATATTCTTTTTAAAACATATTTGATACAAACAAGGAACATTAAGAGCGAATAGTATGCAGTACATGTGCACTAAAATTCGCCAGGTAGGCTATTGGCAATTACATACACAGCTGTTTGAAATCATTTGCATAATAGGTTGTTAAACTAAAACCTGAAATCAAGGACAAGATTTTTATTTTTTTTAGATATTTGATACTGACAAGGATCATTAAGAGCGATTAGTATGCAGTACATGTGCACAATTAAAATCCGCCATGTAGGATATTGGCAATAATTACATACCACAGCTGCATGAGTGAAATAAAATGTATGTGCATCTGAAATCATTTGCATAATATGTTGTTAAATTAAAACCTGACTGTTATATATTTATTATCCTAATAGTCCCCCTGAGCTGATTAATAAGGATCTTTCCATGTAAACATCCACTCTGACATTCAATCTAGATACAATTCTAGCGGCTAGGTTTATCCTGTGTGTTAGTTACACAAATAATATCACAGGTAATGATACCAAATCACATGACCGTACCGGTAACCATAGTAACATCGATCAGGGTACACATATTCCGTCTTTGCGTATTGCAGAGTTATCTTCTCTTGGGAACAGGTATTGATTGTTTCCTCACTTGTTTGTGAGAGTAACGTCCTCAATTTTTGAGAAAACGACGTAATTTTCTCGCCCAAACCAATGACGTAACAATCAATACCTGTCCCCAAGAGAAGATAACTCTGCAATACGCAAAGACGGAATAGTAAAACGAAGATTTATGTTACACTGAATGGGATAGAAAGTGTTGGGGCAGGCCGGGTAAAACTAATTGAGGCACTAAATAGCAAGGGGACAGGGCAATACCGATTGAGATACTTAATACATGTAGACGAGGGTGCAGTGTAACACCCATTAAGAAACTAAATTATTCCGGGTAACAACGATTAAGATACTTAATGAACGCGGTAACACCGATTTAAGTATAAAAATAATCGAGGGTGCAGAGTAACACTAATTGAGGTAATTCATATAGAGGATGCAGGGTTACACACATTAATGTACGTGATAAAGAGGGTGCGGAATAATACCCATTGAGGTACTTAATAAAGAGGGTGGGTGCAGGGTTACACACATTGGTGTACGTGATAAAGAGGCTGCGGAATAATACCAATTGAGGTACTAAATATAGAGAGCGCAGGGTTACACACATTAATGTACGTGATAAAGAGGGTGCGGAATAATACCCATTGAGGTACTTAATATAGAGAGTGCAGGGTTACACACATTAATGTACGTGATAAAGAGAGTGCGGAATAATACCCATTGAGGTACTTAATAAAGAGAGTGCAGGGTTACACACATTAATGTAGGTGATAAAGAGGGTGTGAAATAATACCCATTGAGGTACTTAATATAGAGGGTGCAGGGTTACACACATGAATGTACTTGATAAAGAGGGTGCGGAATAATACCCATTGAGGTACTTAATAAACAGGGTGGGTGCAGGGTTACACACATTAATGTACTTGATAAAGAGGGTGCGGAATAATATCCATTGAGGTACTAAACAAAGAGGGTGGGTGCAGGGTTACACACATTAATGTACTTGATAAAGAGGGTGCGGAATAATTCCCATTGAGGTACTTAATAAAGAGGGTGCAGGGTTACACAAATGAATGTACTTGATAAAGAGGGCGCGGAATAATACCCATTGAGGTACTTAATAAAGAGAGTGCAGGGTTTCACACATTGGTGTACATGATAAAGAGGCTGCGGAATAATACCCATTGAGGTACTTAATAAAGAGGGTGCAGGGTTACACACATGAATGTACTTGATAAAGAGGGTGCGGAATATTACCCATTGAGGTACTTAATATAGAGAGTGCAGGGTTACACACATTAATGTACTTGATAAAGAGGGTGCGGAATAATACCCATTGAGGTACTAAACAAAGAGGGTGGGTGCAGGATTACACACATTAATGTACTTGATAAAGAGGGTGCGGAATAATACCCATTGAGGTACTTAATGAAGAGAGTGCAGGGTTCCACACATTAATGTACTTGATGAAGAGGGTGCGGAATAATACCCATTGAGGTACTTAATAAAGAGAGTGCAGGGTTACACACATTAATGTACGTGATGAAGTGGGTGTGGAATAATACCCATTGAGGTACGTGACAAGGAGGGTGCAGGGTTACACACATAAATGTACTTGATAAAGAGGGTGCGGAATAATACCCATTGAGGTACTTAATATAGAGGGTGCAGGGTTACACACATTAATGTACGTGATAAAGAGGGTGCGAAATAATACCCATTGAGGTACTTAATATAGAGAGTCCAGGGTTACACACATTAATGTACTTGATAAAGCGGGTGCGGAATAATACCCATTGAGGTACTTCATACAGAGGATCATGGTAACACACATTCAGGTACGTAACAAAGAGGGAGCAGGGTAACACTCATTGAGGTACGTAACAAAGAGGGAGCAGGGTAACACTCATTGAGGTACCTAACAAAGAGGGAGCAGGGTAACACTAATTGAGGTACGTAACAAAGAGGGAGCAGGGTAACACTCAGTGAGGTACGTAACAAAGAGGAAGAAGGATAACACTCATTGAGGTACGTAACAAAGAGGAGGCAGTGTAACACTCATTAAGGTACGTGACAAAGGGGGAGCAGGGTAACACGCATTGAGGTACGTAACAAAGAGGGAGCAGGGTAACACTCTTTGAGGTACGTGACAAAGAGGGAGCCAGATAACACTGATTTAGGTACGTAACAAGAGGGAGCCGGGTAACACTGATTTAGGTACGTTACAAGAGGGGGAGCAGGATAACACTCATTGAGGTACGTGACAAAGAGGGAGCAGGGTAACACTCATTGAGTGACGTAACAAGGAGGGAGCAAGATAACACTCATTGAGGTACGTGACAAAGAGGGAGTAGGGTAACAGTCGATGAGGTACGTAACAAAGAGGCAGCAGGGCAACACTCATTGAGGAACGTGACAAAGAGGGAGCAGGGTAACACTCATTGAGGTACGTCACAAGGAGGGAGCAGGATAACACTCATTGAGGTATGGAACAAGTAGAGAGCAGGAAAACACTTATTGTGGTACCTAACAAAGAGGGAGCAGGATAACAGTCATTGAGGTACGTAACAAAGAGGGACCAGGGTAACACTCAGTGAGGTACGTAACAAAGAGGGAGCATGATAACACACATTGAGGTACGTAACAAAGAGGAGGCAGTGTAACACTCATTAAGGTACGTAACAAAGAGGGAGCAGGGTAACACTCATTGAGGTACGTAACACAGAGGGAGCAGGGTAACACTCATTTAGGTACGTAACAAAGAGGGGGCAGGATAACACTCATTAGGTACGTAACAAAGAGGGAGCAGGGTAACACTCAATGAGGTACGGAACAAGGAGGGAGCAGGGTAACACTCATTGAGGTATGTGACAAAGAGGGAACAGGGTAACACTCATTGAGGTACGTAACAAGAAGGGAGCAGGGTAACACTCATTGAGGTACGTGACAAAGAGGGAGCAGGATAACACTCATTGAGACTCAAATAGTTCAAACATATAAGACAACGAGTTTTAATATAATAATGTAATAGAAATAAGTCTGCGACTGTTGATATAAAAATGTACTACCTTCAGGGCCCAGTTGTTCAAAAGGTGGTAAGCTTAATCACTGTTTAACGACATTTTCAATCTCTAATCATTGGGTCAATATACAAGG